CCATCCGTTCACATCTTACACACATACCACACACACACACACTCACACACGGGCCACTCAATTTGCTTATTATTAATATTATCAACAAATCTCGAGAACGGAAACCCTTCGGAGAACAGAGTTTAAGTTTATTTTCCTGAACGTTCGGAGAAATAGAGCCGGCCTTAAAAAAGGGGGGTGCAGGAGTGCAGGGGTCCCCCTGCCCCCTAAAAAAGGGGGTGGTTGCAAGGGGGGGGGGGTCTCCCCCTTACTAAATTCACAAGTGGTTTGTAGCAGTTTTTAGCGCCAAAATTGTTCTCAGCTCACTAATAAAAACGTTAGAATATAGTTGCCGAAAATAGATCTTGATCTAATCTCAAATTTAGGTTTGGTAGGCAACTCAGTTCAGTTTTTTACTCGACTTCTGGGTTTTTTTCCGATTTTGTGTATAAATGTATGGAGTTAGGCCTGGACCACTTCTCCCGAAGAGTGCCATCTAGATTTCTACTTGTGATTGTGGAGAGGACTTCCATAACGAACGACCACTGAGACAGAGTAGAATAGAGGGGTAGGGTTAGGGTTGGTCTAAAGCACGGAAATTACTACATGGTTGGCCACTTTTATTCTCACACCCTCCCCCCCCGCTCACACCCCGATGTGGGCATGAGGCGAGGACTCCCCCCTGACCTGCAGGCCAGTAAAATCACCTAGGCCCTTAATAGAATTAGTGGCTTACAAACCGCATGTGGTTGGGAACTAATAATAATAATGTAAGAACATTTTTCGCCTCTCCAATAAAATAAAATGGCTCACTACCGACACAGTGGGATATGGGACCGGCCGCCGGCTGGACCATTATAATAGTTGTTTACACACTTAACGATGGCTGGCCTCTCTGCATACACAATACATTATTCAAGGAACAGAGAGTGTGTACAAACATACAAACGTAACGAGACACGAGCACGAGACCATGCTCTCGCACGACGGTTGAAGGGTTGTATTATTCTGAAGATGACCAAATGGAAGAAGGTGTTACTAGTTTCATAATTTTAAACAAACCAAGCTCTTTTCTTCACTTTAATTTTTTTTCTTTCATTCTTTCTTTTTCTTTTTTTTTTCTTGCCTCTTCTATCTCGTTCTTCTTCAACATTTGGAGTTTGGAGCCAAAAAAGAGCTAGAGAACATGAAATTTTGCAGGCCAGACGCGATCCAAAGAGCCAAATTTCTGGGATTTGGCTCCAAGTTGACAACCCTGACTGTGACTAAATCTAGTTGTATGTCTATTGGGACACTAACATGATCCTGTGGAGCATTAGCCTCGGTAACCTCAGCGCTGATCCCTCTTGGATCATTTCCGGTAAAACAAGGGAGGGGGTGAGAATAGCGACGAGATGGTTATTCTTTCCTGGGGTTTAGTGTGATGTAGCTCGATTAAAAGCCTTTAAATATTTTTAAAAACTTAATTTTCGGCGGAAATGAAGTTGATATTCATGTTCAGAGCCTCAGTTTAGTCGAAAATGGACAACTGGTAACTATAAGTGAGGGAAAGTGGTGGTCGCTTGTTACGAAAGTCCTTCCTATTTGATTATGTCTGTGAGTGTGAGAGACTCTCACCGAGGCTGTTAAGGAATTCAAAATTCTGTAATTTTCTGGTTTTTGGCCCCAAGAATACTGGGTACATTTTTACTTCTATGGGCTATGTTTCGGCACTATTCGGCAGGAGCACATTTGCGATGTGCCGTCTTGTTAATATTAATGTACCACCAAACTCGCCACGAGTGTCGTCATCGCTTGGGTTATCCCCGAGGCGATTTTAGGTCAGGTTACACTGTTGAATATTGTATTATGTTTAGCTAAAGCGCGTGGACTTTGGCATGGCATAGTAGATGATTTACGGCGCAATAGACACAGAAATGACAGTTATGGCGCCAGTGAGGACCTTGTTTTGATATAATATTTGGCTAGTGTTTGTTTCTGGCTTCTTTTATTTTATTATTGTAGGTGTTTTGAGTAAAAAAGCATTAACATTTTTTGGGCAGCACTGCACTACCGTGCTCTATGGACGAACCGCCCTTGTCAATAGTAGAATTCATTTATCTTTGACTTCCGGGTCAAACTAAGGGCTCGTTAGCTTGTATTCTTCTATATTTGGCCCGTACGTTACCATAATACAATAATAACTTCAAGTGTCATTTATTGAAAATTAAACTAGTACAATCACCAAAATGCCAGTGTGGAGAGGCTGACCAAACTGTTGAACACATCCTTCAGCACTGCAAGACACACAGGGCCCTGAGACAGGATACATGGCCAACCCCACTGACGCTGCAAGAGAAGCTATATGGGCCGACAGATGAACTGAGCAGGACGGCCCAATTTATGACAGATACCAGACTTCAAGTGTGATTCGATCGAGAAGAAGAAGAAGAAGACAATAATAACTTCGCATCGTATGGTGGTACCGTCCAGCCATGGTTACGGACCTCAACTACCGGACGCTGCCACCGTCCAGACATGGTTGTCTTTCAGTCGAATCGCTGATATTTCGGTGCGAGTCCACACCCCTTACGGATGTATTGCCGACATATCGGTTGTGATAGGGTGCCTCAGTATTGTTTCGTTTTAACGCGATCCGTCTTTTATAATTACTTTTTATTGTTATTGAAAACTTGGAAAGGATTTAGGAAACGGAAAACATCTAGTTTCACTTTGTCAAAGCGTGGGTTAGGGGAAAAGCGAGTGAATTAGTTCTTGCGGTCTTGCATCAACAATGAAACGATGTAACCGAAATCAGTATAAATATCATAACTCAAACAAAAATTGGAATATTTCTTTCAAAAATAAAAAGCTACGCATTCAGAAATTTATGGCTTATAAATGCTCTTTTGGCCTGTATATGATAAGATTGCTATGCTGATTTGCTTTCACATGTTTGGTGAATGTAATTTTTTCCGTCAAAATGTATTTTTCTCATCACCATTGCCATGTCTAACCCTTGTAATGAATACTTATGTTCAAAAGTATTCCTCATTCAATTTCCTTCAATTTGATATATAATATGTTACGTTTTGAGTGATGTTTATGTTTATATGAAGTTGTTTGGTACACCATCTGTGCAGCCAAATCGAGCCGCAAGTTAGGTACGTCTTGATCCCAAAAAAACTACATCCGGAAAGAGTTATAGTTATAGAGTTAAATGTCCGTGTAAAAACACATTTCGATGTGAATTTTACTGAAAAATATCTATTAACTTGACAGCACAAAATGTGTCATCTTTCTGTTTTCAAGGACTGTTTAGCTAATTGAGTTACCAAACTTTGACGGCCATATATTACTCGCTAATTTTACCACTGAAACCAGGCGACCTCACTTCCTTCAATCGCAAATGTCTTGAGTTCTGTTCAAGATAGATGCATATTTATTTTCCTTGAAAGCAAGGCAAATGAATCAGCTTTCAGATGATATCAATAGCTCCACATGCTCAAAAATTGACGTGCGCCTGATTCCATGGCGTCGTAACAAATATGTGTCACGACACGGTGGAATCAGACTCTCGTCAATTTCTGGTCATGTGAAGTTAATGGTATCATCTTAAGCCTGTTCATTTGCCTTCCTTTTTCGGGAAAAAAATATCCATCTATGTTGAATAGAAGTTGAAATATTTGTTACTGAAGGAGGTCATTGGAGGTTTCAGAGGTAAAATTAGCAAGAAAATGGCCGCCAAAGTTTGTTAATTTCCATAGCCTGAGAGTCCTTTGAAACTGAATATTTACATTTTTTGTGCCTTTAATCAATGGTTTTCGGTAAAATCCACCCAGAAGTGTGTTTTTAAATGGACATAAAAGGTGTTAAATCAAAATAAAATTGCCCATGGCCAAAAAGATGCTGAATTCTTTCATTTAATTATTTTGATGAGCACCTGATTTCACCACGATGCCTCACATATGTTACTTTGTCACTTCAGGTATCTACTGATGATTAGTTAAGGATTCTGATATAACTTTATAGGTGACCGCTGCTGATTTAACCTGCTGAAATATGTTCTTGTTACATTGTATATTCAATAAGATTCCATCATTTTATCCTGACTCACATCGTTGAAATGGAGCAATACAACATTCTTGGGCGAATTGGAGAGGGAGCTCATGGAATAGTACTGAAAGCAAAGCACATTGAGGTAAGTACTGAAAAAAAAGTACACTACATTCTTTGTACTGATTGTTTCTACTCAAAGCTATAGTAAAATATAGTGCCCCTGGGCGAATTATTGACTCTCTATGTAAGGTTGGCTGTCACACTTTTTATAAGAATATTATTTGCTGGAGATTAAGTCTGTGGAAAGTTTCCCTGAGTAGAAAGGGTATATTTATGTGGTTAGGCTGTCAGACTGGCAACCGTGAGGTCGTGGGTTCAAATCCCATTAGGGACTCAACATTGTGTCTTTAGGAGAGGTACTTTACACAAATTTTTCTCACTTCCCTTCGGTGGAAATGGGTACCTGGCTATAGACAGCAAAAGATTTTGTAAGTTTGAAAGTGATTTAGCACTTGCAATCTGCATCTTGCACTGTATGCTTCCCGGGAAGCCTAGAATGTTTTTGAGTGTTCTGAGTCTGCTGGGGTAATAATGGTTGTGACAGGCATTCGAGCGTGCTGTGGAGCGTGAATACGCACTAAATAATGCTATTATTATTTTTAAAATCATTATTATTTCTGTTTTTATTACATTATTATTATTATTATCATTATTGTTGTTATTATTATCATCAGCCATCGCATTATTGTTATTATTATTATTATTATTATTATTATTATTATTATAAAACTATAATTGAGATGTTTACATTCATTTCTTTATTCAGAGTGGTGAAATAGTTGCCTTAAAGAAAGTTCCCTTGAGGAATGCTGAGGAAGGAATACCAAACACAGCCCTAAGGTTTGTCGTTTGTTTTAATTATATTTAATGGTGGGAACCATTTTTTTTCAATAAGTTTGGAAGTTTACTCCTCTTAGGCATTTATGACTTGTTGTCTTTTGACTGTGATTCTAAGTGTAAAGATTTTTTATCTGGCACTTTCAAAGAGGATAATTACAGCTTGCATCAGTGACGTCTCATATATCAGACTCAGAGCCCTTCTTACCCTCATAGGCATGGCCAGTTGCGCCCCCATTTATATAAACCTTCTGAGCCCCCACCCTGTTCCCCACGAGCTGTAGTACATTGATACTGCCCGGACCCCATATTTCAGTGCAAGCTCGTAGATTTCCTCTTTAGACTGCCGAGACGCCTCCACTTGAGTCTTGAAAAGTACTTACCCGTCTGTTGAAGTGCACATGTCTTGCCCTTGAGGTTCAGCATCCCAGTGTGGGAACATGTAGCCTCCTTTCGTTGACGTGGGTGATATCACTGCCACAACCTCTAGTACTAAGTACTACATCTTTGAGCACTTTGTACAAGGTGTGTCTATTATTCCTCAGAATGTTAAACTTATAAAGTTAGAAGTAGAATTGAATGTAGTTTCTTTACTATTGTGTATCTTTTTGAAGGCTCACGCAATTTCACATTTGCTCAATTGGCAAGTTTATAGTTTATTGATGTACTTTGTGGCGATATTGAAAGATCAAAGACAATAGCAAGAAATGATAATAATTTGCTACCTTTTTATTTTGATTTGTGCTGTAATTTTGCAATGTTTTTGCCTGTTATTTTCAGGTACATAAATTGTAGAGGCTTTTGTACTTTTTTTCTTTCTGATTGTCTAGAAATTGTGGGCCATGGTACTCTTTGTTTTTTTTTCTTGTTTTTTTTTCTTTTTATTCCATATATATTTTTTAAGTTTGTTACTTACTGGTGCTTTCTTTTCTTTCAGGGAAATCAAAGCCCTACAAGAGATAGAAGATAATCCTTATGTAAGTGTGTACAATGCGTTAAAAAAACCCCTAGAAATGAATGATGAGCCATCTTTCTTGTTCATATTACGTTACATACTACTTTCATTTAAGAATAAAAAAGAAAACGTGAAGTTATCAAGTTCACTCAGGGTCTGTAGATTGATGCCACACTTTGTATGCTTTTCTTCCAAGTGCTTTTTGCTTCAATCCCTTTTAAAGTGGGCATTGCTCTTATTCTGCTAAAGTTGTGAGTTATTGAAATATTTAGGTATTGTGTCACAGAAGCTGTTGACAGCCCTCATTTAGTAGGCCTATATGATGACGGGGGATCTGTAAAGTCAGTAAAGTTTTATCTTATTTTACACAACTGCTTTAAGAAAGTGGGTCTATAACAGGACAAAACTTACTTTAGATCTACCAAATTTCCAGCCAACATCTTCTTGAAAGAACTCAGTCCCTCGAGCCACATTGGCATCACAGTAGAACACTTGATCTATAATTTGCATTGAATGGGTTTCAAAGAATTTTTTCATTATAATCAAGTGCAAAAGGGGTCAAACTGCAGAAAAATTTTGTAATTGTAGAAGAATGAAATGAGGAACACTTGGGTGGACAAAAAGAATTACATTTGGTGGTCCAACAAGACGAGGCTGCAACAAAGTACTTGCTTGTTCAATTACGTCATCTTCCTACTTATTTGATTTATATATGTGTATACGTAAATTTATACAGTACATGAAACTTTATATTGACTGCTCAGTGTAAGACTCCGTCATATGTCACTTTTCAAAATGTGTGTATAGGGGAGTCGTACGTCAAGCAGTTGATATAATGTGAGGCATCGTGGTGAAATCAGGTGTTCATCAAAATAATGAAATCGAAGAAAACGTCGTTTGGCAATTTAAAAAAAAAAAATTTTGTTTATTGGCTCAACACCTTTTATGTCTATTTAATGTTCGTGTGGATTTTACATAAAAACGGGGATTATAGAAAAATGTAGTTCCCAAGGGCTAAAGCTTTGGAAGTCATCAAACTTTGGCGGCCATTTTCTCATAAATTTTACCTCTGAAATCAGGCGACCCCACCTCATTCAATCGCAAATATCTCGACTTCTATTCAAGATAGATGAGTATTTTTTTTTCTTCAAAAGCATGAAAATGAACAATCTTTAAGATGGTAATAATAACTCCACAGGCCCGAAAATTGACGAGTGCATGATTCCACCATGTTGTGACACAAAGATTTATATTTTTTCCAGGTTGTGAGGCTTCGCGAAGTCTTTCCCCATGGCGCTGTGATTGTGTTTGTGTTTGAGTTCATGTTGTCAGATCTGTCTGAGGTCATCCGGAAGGTGGAGAAACCACTGACAGAAGCACAGGTCAAGTCCTACATGCTCATGCTGCTCAAAGGAATTGCCTTTTGCCATGAAAACAATATTATGCACAGGGTAGGTATATCTTGTGGGCGTATCTTGTTACTAGCTAGAATTAATTGTGCAACAGAGTTTGGAAAGGTAAACATTTTGTGGGAAGTGGTTTTTGTCTAATAGCTTGTTGCTTGAAATGTTCATATCTGCATTTTGCCGTGGCCTCCAAAGCCTATAGGACCCTTGCTTCTGAACTCTCAAAAGATGACTGCTTGACTTGTGCTACTGTGCACTGAAGCATGTATTTCTTCTTCTTCTACCCCTGCAAGAGCTCGGGGAATACTTGACTGTAAGATTTTCATCTCATAGTTCACTTGATTTTATGTACAGGACAGTTTATATTCATAGAACGTAGAATCATCCCTTGGCTGACTGGCAGCCATGTGCCATTTTCAAAGGCACTCTTGATATTCATACTGACTAGAGTAGTTTCACATTTTGGGACGGAGTTACTTTTGAATTTTACTCGGATGGCAGCCCAAAAGTTCTACTCTTTTTTATTTTAGAACAGCCAAGGGATCATAAGTGTGTGAAATCTTCACACAAGACCCCCAAAATGTTCATTCTTCTCTGAGAAGACCAGGTGTTCAATCCTACCTAATCTTGGATCAGGGGATGTAGAAAACATGAGAAAAAATCCAAAGTTGGCGTGGATTGAACTCCAGACCTCTGGTTTGACAGGCGAACAGCAACCTGTTGAGCTACTGAGCCCCCTAAGGCTTGCATTTAATTCATGAATTAAGAAAAGTCGTGGACATTGAAATGTGTATTTGGGTCTGAAGGGTGAAGCCAAAATCATTTCGCAACAACCATTTTCTTATGTTTAAAGCACTTAGAGCTTATACTCATATGAGATAGAACTCTATATAAATGCAATCTTTTATTATTTAATATTATTATT